GATTATATTTTTTTTCTGTTCTCCTACGGCAGTCCAAATTGATTTCGACCTCGATTAAGATACAATGGATTATTATCAATATTCTTGTGAAAAAATAAAGTTCGCACATGGCCTATTTACTGAGATATTTCGAAAATTCTGTCAAAATTGACAGATTATTTTTTTTTCTGTTCTCCTACGGCAGTCCAAATTGATTTCGACCTCGATTAAGATACAATAGGTTATTATCAATATTCTAGTGAAAAAATAAAGTTCGCACATGGCCTATTCACTGAAATATTTCGAAAATTCTGTCAAAATTGACTGATTATATTTTCTTACTGTTCTCCTACGGCAGTCCAAATTGATTTCGACCTCGATTGAGATACAATGGATTCTTATCAATATTCTAGTGAAAAAATAAAGTTCGCACATGGCCTATTCACTGAGATATTTCGAAAATTCTGTCAAAATTGACAGATTATATTTTTTTTCTGTTCTCCTACGGCAGTCCAAATTGATTTCGACCTCGATGGGGATACAATGGATTATTATCAATATTCTTGTGAAAAAATAAAGTTCGCACATGGCTTATTTACTGAGATATTTCGAAAATTCTGTCAAAATTGACAGATTATATTTTTTTTCTGTTCTCCTACGGCAGTCCAAATTGATTTCGACCTCGATGGAGATACAATGGATTATTATCAATATTCTTGTGAAAAAATAAAGTTCGCACATGGCCTATTTACTGAGATATTTCGAAAATTCTGTCAAAATTGACAGATTATTTTTTATTCTGTTCTCCTACGGCAGTCCAAATTGATTTCGACCTCGATTAAGATACAATAGGTTATTATCAATATTCTAGTGAAAAAATAAAGTTCGCACATGGCCTATTCACTGAAATATTTCGAAAATTCTGTCAAAATTGACAGATTATATTTTTTTTCTGTTCTCCTACGGCAGTCCAAATTGATTTCGACCTCGATTGAGATACAATGGATTATTATCAGTATTCTTGTGAAAAAATAAAGTTCGCACATGGCCTATTTACTGAGATATTTCGAAAATTCTGTCAAAATTGACTGATTATTTTTTTTTCTGTTCTCCTACGGCAGTCCAAATTGATTTCGACCTCGATGGAGATACAATGGATTATTATCAATATTCTAGTGAAAAAATAAAGTTCGCACATGGCCTATTCACTGAAATATTTCGAAAATTCTGTCAAAATTGACTGATTAAATTTTTTTTCTGTTCTCCTACGGCAGTCCAAATTGATTTCGACCTCGATTGAGATACAATGGATTCTTATCAATATTCTAGTGAAAAAATAAAGTTCGCACATGGCCTATTCACTGAGATATTTCGAAAATTCTGTCAAAATTGACAGATTATATTTTTTTTCTGTTCTCCTACGGCAGTCGAAATTGATTTCGACCTCGATGGGGATACAATGGATTATTATCAATATTCTTGTGAAAAAATAAAGTTCGCACATGGCCTATTCACTGAAATATTTCGAAAATTCTGTCAAGATTGACTGATTATATATTTTTTCTGTTCTCCTACGGCAGTCCAAATTGATTTCGACCTCGATTGAGATACAATGGATTATTATCAATATTCTTGTGAAAAAATAAAGTTCGCACATGGTCTATTCACTGAGATATTTCGAAAATTCTGTCAAAATTGACAGATTATATTTTTTTTCTGTTCTCCTACGGCAGTCCAAATTGATTTCGACCTCGATTAAGATACAATGGATTATTATCAATATTCTTGTGAAAAAATAAAGTTCGCACATGGCCTATTTACTGAGATATTTCGAAAATTCTGTCAAAATTGACAGATTATTTTTTTTTCTGTTCTCCTACGGCAGTCCAAATTGATTTCGACCTCGATTAAGATACAATAGGTTATTATCAATATTCTAGTGAAAAAATAAAGTTCGCACATGGCCTATTCACTGAAATATTTCGAAAATTCTGTCAAAATTGACTGATTATATTTTCTTACTGTTCTCCTACGGCAGTCCAAATTGATTTCGACCTCGATTGAGATACAATGGATTCTTATCAATATTCTAGTGAAAAAATAAAGTTCGCACATGGCCTATTCACTGAGATATTTCGAAAATTCTGTCAAAATTGACAGATTATATTTTTTTTCTGTTCTCCTACGGCAGTCCAAATTGATTTCGACCTCGATGGGGATACAATGGATTATTATCAATATTCTTGTGAAAAAATAAAGTTCGCACATGGCTTATTTACTGAGATATTTCGAAAATTCTGTCAAAATTGACAGATTATATTTTTTTTCTGTTCTCCTACGGCAGTCCAAATTGATTTCGACCTCGATGGAGATACAATGGATTATTATCAATATTCTTGTGAAAAAATAAAGTTCGCACATGGCCTATTTACTGAGATATTTCGAAAATTCTGTCAAAATTGACAGATTATTTTTTATTCTGTTCTCCTACGGCAGTCCAAATTGATTTCGACCTCGATTAAGATACAATAGGTTATTATCAATATTCTAGTGAAAAAATAAAGTTCGCACATGGCCTATTCACTGAAATATTTCGAAAATTCTGTCAAAATTGACTGATTATATTTTTTTACTGTTCTCCTACGGCAGTCCAAATTGATTTCGACCTCGATTGAGATACAATGGATTCTTATCAATATTCTATTGAAAAAATAAAGTTCGCACATGGCCTATTTACTGAGATATTTCGAAAATTCTGTCAAAATTGACAGATTATTTTTTATTCTGTTCTCCTACGGCAGTCCAAATTGATTTCGACCTCGATTAAGATACAATAGGTTATTATCAATATTCTAGTGAAAAAATAAAGTTCGCACATGGCCTATTCACTGAAATATTTCGAAAATTCTGTCAAAATTGACTGATTATATTTTTTTACTGTTCTCCTACGGCAGTCCAAATTGATTTCGACCTCGATTGAGATACAATGGATTCTTATCAATATTCTATTGAAAAAATAAAGTTCGCACATGGCCTATTTACTGAGATATTTCGAAAATTCTGTCAAAATTGACGGATTATATTTTTTTCTGTTCTCCTACGGCAGTTCAAATTGAGTTCGACCTCGATTTAGATACAATAGGTCATCGATATTCTAGTGAAAAAATCTGCTTCGCACATGGCCTATTAACAGAGCCATTTCTGAAATTCTGTCAAAATTCACAGATTCTATAGATTTTTCGAACTCCAAAATCATTTCCCTCATAATTTGTTAGAAATCAATAATTATGAGTCAAGTATTACTGATGAATAATGCCAAAAAACTTTCAAGTAGAGAAGACAATCTAATAGGTTCAGATTATTTTCAAATCATGTAAGCACCCAATATGTACCCAAAATGCTATGAGAAGTCCTATTAGCTAAAATTGAACAAATAGGGAAAAGGTATGTGGCTAAATAACATGTAAAACCGTGGATGGGAAATAAAACCGTGGATGGGAGATAAAACCGTGGCTGAGAAATCTGGCAACGCCGCACGCGATTTTGCCTCTATCCCACTTTCGACATTCTACACGTCATAAAGCGTGGCCAGAAAATCGTGGATAACTTCACACTAACAATTGATATTACCAGCCCATCTCTGTAATGTAGAAATACTAGGTAGTGGGTATTTCAATGTTTCTCTCAGGTATACATAACTCCTTTTCCCCAAATACCTCAGTGTAAATGCTTTAGAAAGCTCTTCATTTGTCCACCTGACTTTGTTCTTTTTTTTCAGAGCAATATCCACTTGATTTGAAGACATAAAATCTTTAAAAAGATCCTTGGCCTTTTTTTCAAAGGAATTTTCAGGCTGTTCAATTCCTTGTTCAAGTTCAGCAATTCTATTGTTGAATTCATTGTTGCTCTTTTCCATTTCATTCCTCAAAGAATCATTTTCTGTCTGTAATACTTCTAATTTAGTTCTCAATGTATTATTTTCTGATTGTAATTCTTCCACTTTCTTCCTTAATATATCATTTCCTATTTGAATGAGTCCATATTGTTTTTCAAAAACTTTCAGTTGGTCAGGAACAACTTCTGGAAATGAATAAAATCAGTACCTATATAATACTATACCAACATTTTATAGATATTCTCTAAGCCCATCTGATTGCAGAATCATCTGAATTTAAAATATAAGTAGCAATAAGTACCATTATTAATTTCGTTTTCTACCTCCACTTCCTGGATTTGATTTTCTGAACTTTTCTTGGTGTCAGCTGATTCTGAAGAAACAGAAATTGATTCTTGATGTGAGAGGAATAGTGATGGTACAGCTACAAAAAAAAATAATATTAGTACACTTAGCAAATTTGGACCACACATACACTTCACGACCTGTTCTTTTCAATATCTTTGGAGCAGTTTTCAAAAGACTTGCTTTCAGACAATCTTGATAGTCATCTGGTACGAAATGTCTACTACAAATACGTTTGCATTTTGGCGAAAATGGATCTGTCCTATTGCACTTCCTCACCCATTCCTCACATATCTCGGGAGTTCTCGGAAAACGAAAAAATCTCAGATTTTCGTTCTTTTTGGAGTATCTCGAATTCTTCTTGCAGCCAGCCACACTACAAACTGTCCCACCTGGCATCTGGAAGGGATTCGAAGGATTGTTCGTTTTTATCACAAACAATTATTATAGGTTATTATAAACATATTTCATAAAATAGATTTTATTACTTACCTTGTTTTAGATGTATGACAAACTGATATTCAATTGCACAATCAAAATGCTGAATAATCATAAAGATGAACCATCAAACTGAAAACTAACTGAAAAGATTAAACTAATTTGAAAGTAATAAGAAAAGAAACAAAGCTCCCGCGCGAATATCGAAAGCTTTTTGAATTTCAAAAGAGAAAAGAACCGTTCGGGATGGGCGGGGCTCGGGGCACTCCCATGACGTCACGATCATGCGTCCATTGCGACCTTGAAAAGTTATGAGGCAACTAAGATGAGGCAACCTATCTTGTCCATGGCTAGAGTTTTTTAACCTTTTAACCCTTTCTGACCTGACCGAAATGGGCAAAATGTCAGAATTCAGAATGTCACGTCTGGTCTTGGGATCAGCTGTAGAGCTGTACCCGATGTCCCAAATCTAATCATGTTCAAGATGCATATTGTCGACAAATAAAGCTATTAGAGGTGTTATTTTGCCGCAAATTATTCAAATATGTCCATAGTTTGTGAGGAAGTGTTTGATGATATTAGTCATCCATCTGAAGAAGGTTTGTCAGTGGATTGGGAACTAGGGCAATCCAGTTTTTGCTGTTTTATATGTGTATTAACTTATCTGCTTTTACCTCTTTTACAATGTTTATTTTTTAGAAATCAGAGATTATGCCACCAAGATTGGGATTGATCCCGATTCTGAACCTCAATTGCTCCCTCTAGCTGCTGAAGGTCTCATGAAAGCATTGCCTCCTGGATGGAAACCCTGGTAAGTGCCTAGGTAGGTAATTATTTACAGCTTTGTATCATAAAATTGCTTCTTCAAATTTTTTTAATAAAATGTTTTTTCTAGTAGCATGCAGAAAAGCATCACTTTCTGTACTTATCAGGTAAACTACTGTTTCACCCTCTTCTTTTAGGAATAGTCTGGTAAAGTTGATACATTTCCTGCCCCAACTTAGGGTATTCAAATCTAGGGACATCTCTGCACTGATGAGAGCCCAAAGCTTGAAACCTGTCTTTAGGTAGTCAAGTGTTATTTCTGAATGATCTGGGCACAGCTCAGCAAAGAGAGAATCACTTGCAGCTGTAATCTGTATTCATCTTTACCAGTCCTTGCATGGATATATCAGAAGGATATTATTCAATGTTCTGCATAGCCAGAAAAGAAGTTGTTATCTATCATTTTCATTCATTTTATGAAATATTCTGGTAATGACGAGTATATCTCTCTTAGTGAAAATACATAATATCAAGTATTATGATGTAAGTAGGTACTTAGTCCATCTTTCAAGGACATTGCCTGTTTTTTTTTTAATTCACTTCAATTATTCTGTAGTGTGATTCTTATGATTTTCACTACAAGCAATTTCTTTTTTCTTTCATGAAGAATTATTTAATCATATCCACTAAAAGGCACAAATGCTTTCAAATTGGAAATCCAGCTAGAAACAAATATGAACTTCATATATGTTCTGAAATATTTTGCCATTATCAATAAATTCTATCTTTTTATTAGATATCTTCCTTCTTTGATTGAAGCTGCATGTGAATGCACTAGATGTGTTTATAACCTTATAATAGGTACTTTATGATGAAACTCTTGATAGAAAGAAAACAAAAATTAGGATTTCTCAATACTCTCAACTTTATTTTTACTATCACTGCTAGAATCTTCTTCAGGTTTCTTTACATTCTCTATTATTTCTTCATCATCCCCTGCACCTTCATCTTCACTCTCATTTTCCTCTTCTTGGTCATAAGAGTGTCTAGACAGTTTATTGTGTATCCAATACAGCATCTGTTCTTCCTGAATTTCCTTATCAATGATTGTTGGAAAAATGAATTTCTCCTTGAATTCATTGACTTGATCCTCTACATCTTCCCATGTTAATTTTTCATGCATACCATCTTCACCATATCTATAGTTATATCTAGAACAGGCAAACAATGTTAAAAGAAGATTTTATGATGTTTTAAATATGTATGAGAATAAAATGTTATTAGCCTTGCCTTGGATAGTGCACATATTCCAGCACAAGTCCTAATCCTGGGGCTCTAGGAATACTGATTTTTTCAGCTTTGAATGAATTCAACATAACTTCTTCATTTGCACTTCCCCTTACAACAGCCAAGAGACATCCAACCATTTTTCTTATTTGATGCATCATAAAACTTTGTCCATGAACTTTCAAAACTGCAAACTCCACCTCATTTTTAACAAATGGTTTCTCACAAATAAATGATTTCATGTACCTATTGGCACTAGGATCATTCTGTTTCTTTTTTGAAGTGTAATTGTGGAAATTCTTAGTCCCAGTGAAATGTTTCAACAACTCATTTATTTTATCAAATGTCTCATCATCTAGTCTAAATTCTTTTTGATTTACATTTTTGTCTTTTGGAGCAAATGCTATAGTTGGTAGAACATAGATGTAAGTACGACCATCACATTGTGATTTACTGTTGAACCCTTTGGTTACTCTTTTGAAAGCAAAAACTCTTATTACATCTGGCAGTTCAGCATTTATTTTTGCAAGATCAATATTTTCACCTAATTTGAGTGAGACTATTTGTCTAACTGCTGATACACCTAAAATGGTTGAATTTGAATTGACATTTTCATAGGAAATCAAAAATAAATACCTTTATCTGTTCTTGCTGCTCTTTGGAATTGCATATTCTGTACTTGGGTATAACATTCTTCATTGATCAATTCAGTTTTCAATAAAGCTTTGAACAAATCTTCTTCTATGGTTCTAGTGTTTGGATTTCTTTGCATACCATAATATTCTGCACCTGAGTACCCCATGAGTAGTGCAAATTTTCGACGTTTCACCTTATCTACCACTTTTTCAGTCTGATCATTTTCAACTTTAACTTTTTTTGGGTCATCACTTTTAATTTGCAGCCCTTCCCCTTTATCTGTTCTTCTGTCTTCCCACTGTCGCTTTTTCGTTCGACCATCATATTTTTCCTTCTTGAAAGGCTTGGTACCTTCCATTTTAGTGGAAAATATAGGAGGTAGCTTTGTTGTTTGTTTGAGGCTGCTTTCTGCTAAGGTGAATAAGCTTCTTATTATATTTTTTGTCCTGAAAATCATCACCTCTGCTGCTTCAGATTTGAGGAATCGTTTTATGAGTAGAGTAGCACTAAGTATAAATCAGTTTAATCCATTCATTACTTCTCATGGCGTAAAAGTGGAAAAAGCAAGAAAAAAAATAGGTTATGTTTGATGAACATTAACCTCTCGTTCCCGTTATCTGTCAGCTGTCACTTGACTGTAGTTGCGTTTTATTTTTTCTTCTGGTAACGGTGGTGGGAACAGTATGACGTTTACAAATTAAACGAGAAACCACAGAATGAAGAATAAACACGAACTCAATCTGACCTGACATTAGGCATGGTCACAACAAATCTTCCAACAATAATCCTTGTAATGGTATACTCCTTCCTCTTTATTTTTCGAAGTGATTAATCGAAAAAAAATACTGTAAAGACATTTATTGTTGGGGTCGATAGTGATTTGCTATTTCGATTATGTTTTTTCCCAGGGACCGTGAGCGAAACCGGAGATTATTTGTTGCGCTCAGTGTCTTTGCGTCCTGTCTCTAGATGCCTCTTTTCAGGTCAGATTGAATTCGTGCATAAAAAATTCATTGTGTTTAACCGTGGCGTCATTTCCATTTGGGTATACACCCACTTCCCCTATTTGCCCTAGGGTTTAATGGGGTTTACCAACTCCATATTCACTAGAACCAGAGGAGTGTATAATCTCTGCTAGAACTGAAATGAACCAGTAAACATACATTATTTCTCATTACGATCCACTTGAACCAAATTGTAACACACTGTAGAATAAAAAAAAATAACTCAATCATATTAGGGACATTTCATTCACATTTCGAGTTAATCCTGGTTATAGTATTTCGGTGAAGGTGGTGGGAGGCAACTACGTCATAATGACGTCAACATTAACTATTTTTGAAATCTTATTTCTTTCACTTTACCCACCACCATAGTTTACCCGTGTTTCTCCACTTCAATATCTACTTCATTCATTTCTAATTAAGAGGTTCCCATTATATCATCCATGTTTCACATTCATTAATAATTGTAAACAAATACCTCCACCAACTATGGAGTTGGGAAACCCTAGGGGAGGCGTGTACCCAAACGGAAATGACGTCACGGTTAAACACAATGAAATGGGATTATTGTATTATTTAATTTGATATTACTTTGACCCTGATGTTTCTACACAGTTGATACAATCAACAAAAAAACTAATACTTTCTGAGTCACTTCCGTTGAGAAACACACGAAGGTACTACTAATGCACAAATTGTAAAATTTTCATAATGCCTTGTACCAGCATGATATCTAATAGCCACCTTAGATGAATATGAGAAAAATAATTCCATGTTTTTAGGAAATTGCTCCTATCGTGGAATTCTGGCTATATAGGTATAGGAACATGATAAATCAATTCGAAGGGAATTTAGTAATCTTTCAGGATATGTATAACGCAGAACATACTTCTCTCCACAGAATCAATATACATGATCTTGATGAACTAAACACAAAATTGCAACTTCCTAAGAATCCAAATACCGCAGAAATATACATTCAATTCGAGCTATGTTTTGGATAAAAAAATGCAAAATAATGAATATCTCAAAAACCGTTAGAGATAGGTATATAGGATAGTATGGAGCAGAAATAATCAGAACGTGATGATAAGTTCAAAAATGCGGTAATATACAGGGTGTCCCATTTGAAATAACAAAGATGCTGCTACTTTCTGGTATAAGCGGCAACGCTGCATTGCTGAAAATATTTTAGATCGATAGATCAAGAACAATTACCTGAGTAACCAGATTTTCAGAATGATCTTATTTCCCGTTCTCCGTAAACGTCTAAGGTGCCATCGACCGTGACCCACAGTGGCGTGTTTAGAATCTCGCGTTAGGGGGGGGGCGAGGCAAAAATGAAAAATGTTGCCAATATTTGTCGTGATACATTGACGAATATAATTAAACGAAACAACACCAGAACAACCATCCTTTCTTAATTTGGCTAAGCAATGAACAAACATGGAAAATAGCATACTTATAAATTATTTGACCTTAAGTGGGTTTTCAAGCGCTTTATGGTTGAAATGCTCCTTTCCGCTGTTGCGTCGATACAGGTAGAGTCACAAATATTTGCAGTAAAATCTTTATTGCAGGGAACAAACTCGCCCCAAAACAAAGTGCTTCGATTGCTGTAGAGGGCAAAGCTGGTTTATTTTCCCATCTTTTTCGTCACATTATTATTTCAGCTCTTGTTTTGATATGAATCGAGGTTACTCATGCAAAGTTACCACCGCCACCAACTACCTAACTCAGCGACTCTACAGTCTACAGCTAACTGAAAACTTTGAACAGTAAACGCTGATCATTTGGCAGCCACGTGATCGCCACCGATTATATGAACGGAAACGGAATAATATTCGTCTTCTCAACTGTTCGTGGTTCCACTTCAGGTATGAACTAACGATTTAACGAGTTTTTCAGTGTATTAAATATCCACACCGTGTAGCATAAAACAATCATCATATATTGATAATTAAATGGTAGATTTCTATAAATATCAAATAAGACTGGATGAACCGAAATTTTCGTGTTTTTTTATTCGAGTGTAGCCTGCTTTGGAGGGGGCCCGGGCCCCTCTGCCCCCCCCTTAAACACGCCACTGGTGACCCACCCTGTATACTCTATATACTTCTCTGTACAGTGTGTCCCACTTACCATGCTCACTATGGGTATCTTTTTAACGGTGAGAGATACGAGGTCGGTTAAATGACACCAAATGTGGAGTTTGTCAAGGCCAACTATAATGTGAAAAAATATTTTGATAAAATCTATTTGTTTTCGTTTTATGCGCAAAAAACAGATTTTGGTCATTTTCATGTCTCCTCCGTAACTTCTTTATTTATGAAAATATTCAAATAGGAATTTCACATTCTCATGGCAGTTTTTTAAAGTGATTTCGAAAAAAATATGAAATTTATACCAACTCTTCTAGAATTTGAGATATCAGCACCAACTTCAGTTTTTCGAATGTAGGTCATAGCTCACTATGACTTAGTTACAAATAACTTTTCTCTTACAGATGCAACTTTTGTTGAAATTAAAAAAAAATGGCTGCTATAAAATGGCGGACAAGATTTGGTCCGATTCCATTCAAAATTGGTAAGTGGGGGTTCTTGAGGTCGGAGATCATGATTTTCTTGTTAAAATTTATAAATTCAAGATGGTGGCTTCCCAATCAATTTTTGTTTTTGTATAAATGACGATAACTCCGTTGTTATCAGCACAAAACTATTACTGCGACATATCATCGGTAAGAGAAAAAAAAGTTATTTGTAACTAAGTCATTGTGAGCTATGACCTACATTTGAAAAACTAAAGTTGGTGCTGATAACTCAATATGAATTTCATATTTTTTTCGAAATCACTTCAAAAAACTGCCATGAGAATGTGAAATTCCTATTTGAATATTTTCATAAATAAAGAAGTTACGGAGGAGACATGAATATGATCAAAATCTGTTTTACGGGTATAAAACAAAAACGAATAGATTTTATCAAAATATTTTTTCACATTATAGTTGGCCTTGACAAACTCCACATTTGCTGTCATTTAACCGACCTCGTATCTCTCACCGTTAAAAAGATACCCATGGTGAGCATAGTAAGTGGGACACACTGTATATTTGAACTTGATTCAAGAAGGTGACTCCGGGGATAGCAGACTCAAAAAGATTGGTTCACAAACCCTACATTATTTCTATAATTTAGTATCATTGTTTCTAGTTACGATGACAAGTCAAAATCGTATTACTACTACAACAATTTGACGAAGAACACTCAATGGGAACATCCTTTGGATGAGATATACAGGGGTTTGGTGAAGAAGGCACGAACTGATAGCCAGTCTCTCAGTCTGCAAGAAAAAGATGCCAAGGAGGATGCTACTTATGTCACAGACGACATCTTGAGTCTAGATGAACCAGTAGTAATTGTGGCGCCAAAAAAATTGGATCCCCTCCAACTAGGTATCTCATTCATCTTATATTAACTTAAATTAAATGGTTCTTCGGGAAACTACAAATATAAATGATATAGTGAAGAGGATGGGCGAATGGACTTCAATTACCACATTGTGCCGTTAGGGATCTTAATTAAATTTTGCAACTCTTCTCACACTTTTTTTATGTAAATAATGAGTGTATGCGTTGTTCGAAATTGTTAAAATTCGGAGGTCATTTCAAACGTATACAGTCATGGCCACTATTCGGCGATACGTCGAATAAATGGTGACGTCAGCTTTTATGCTGTTTCGTTATAGGTCAAATATTCTTCCATTCCCACTCACGAAGCAAGGTTGTCAAGTCACCAATTATAATCAAGTTATCAAAAAGATGTTAGAGTCCTGTCATTGAATATAACATAATAGGAGGAACCCATGATATTATGTATAGTTCATTCTTGACTCTTTCGAGCAGTGGCGGCTCCACAGAGGAGGCAACGGAGGCTGAGCCTCCTCAGAGATTCTCCTGAAACTAATATTATCTATACTTTCTCATTAAAATGAGACCAAAATAAATGGAATTTGATTTTATTTCCTGTTTTTAGTTGAATATTTTTGAATTGGCAACAGTGCTTGCCCACGCATCACACGTTGAATTCTGCAAATCACGCGTAAAATATTCAACTTGGCAACATCTATAGGAGGCTAGACTCCTCCCTACGCGCGCAATGCAAATGCCCGAATACGCACGAATAGCAAGTGTTTGTCGTGTCGCTTCGCGAATTGCGGACAAACGCGAGTGCATTGTTTATGTTTATGTTAGGTTAATGGTTAGGGGCTCTATAAATTTCTGAAAAATTAGTGTTTTAAACGATTGCGATTTAGTGGAATACTTTTTGGTGAACCCATTCAGTGCTTTGTCTTTTGGAGATAAATTGATTGTGAAAAACAAACGTCCGACACCGGAACTAAAAAATCTGATTGTAACAGGTAACAAACAAAATCGTTCGTTCAATTCTGATAATTATAAAAAATATATCTGGTTGACGGGATCTGAGGTAAGGAATAAGCTATTTTGTTGGTACTGCGTATTATTTACAACCAATAAGTCATCATGTTGGGGGCGATTAGGATATAATGATTTGAAAAATTTGCCTCGCGGATTGGATAGACACTGCAAATCACAGGAACACATCTCTTCAAGTATTAAGTTCAGGTTCTGGTGAACAGAATGTCATTAAAGCTATTGATTTAGGTGAGTAGAGAGTTGTTTTTCACAATAAATCTCATATCATTCAGCCTCCTCTGTCATGAAAGTCACGAGCCGCCACTGCTTTCGAGCAACCAGCATGTCATTATAAGCAATAAGCCACAAATCATAAGGGAACACAATACATAATTGAGAACTCATTAATATTCAAATAACTAATATTTCTGGAGTTCCCAATCCTATAAGTCCACTCGCCCAAAATTCTACGTTCTCTGTCATTTCAGGTGCTAGAAAGAAGGATATCAGACTGTCGCCTCTGAAATTGAGCCCCAGTGCGAGCCCTAAAAAAGAGTTGAAGCTCTTCAAACAGAGATCTGAGGATTTTTCCGTGGGCCCCAAAAGGCTCTCGCTGGGGTTCAGTAGTTTCGATGAGAACAAAGATGGCTCATTCAGTAGACATCCTCGCAGTCTTGACAGAAATGAACTCAAAGTTTCCGGGGGTGGGAGTATGTTTCTCAAGTCCAACACTGTACGGAAATCTAGTGACGCAGGACTCAGTTCCAGTCTTCCAAAAAATGATTCATCTCAGGGTAAATATTCTACAATTCACTTCAAAATACCCTGGCATCGTTTTAGTACCACCACTTTCATGTACAGGGTGTATTTAAATAACACCGGAAAAACTCAAGGGGTGTTTCCTTGTGACATTTTAGCAAATAAAGTTTATATAAACATGAGTGTCCTAACTTGGTCCGTTTTTGAGGTACAGGATGTTGAAGTGTGAAGTATTAATTGTTGTTATTTATAACCCCCCTTTATAAACTTTCATGGTGCCAAAATTCAGTATGGATAGAGACTGAGAAAGCCCCAAAATTTCAAAATGATTCTTATTGGGGTTATTGAGTAATCTCTCAATGGAAGTCTTGAAAACACCTACATTAAAATCTAGAGGTAAATCGAATTTTTATTGTTTCCTCAAAAACTAAGCTAGATACAAAAATCACACAGGGGGTAAAAAAGTTGTTATTTCAATAGTTCAATTTGATAAAAATATGAAACTCAGAAAAACCTTTGGTGTACAATATGACATTCACCATGAATATCGATAAATTTACCTCCGAATCTAATTGCACTAGAAGATTACTATTACCAAAATCACTACGTTTAATTGAAATTGATGAGAAGACAATTGAGAAGTGAATAGAAAAAAGGTTTTTCATGGAAATATCAATACCCTGTATCTCAAAACCGAAGCAAGTTGGGACACATGTTAATGTAAAATTTATTTCATAAAATATCAGAAGACATCAGCCCTTGGATTTTTCCGGTGTTATTTAGATACAATCTATAGTGACGATATACAGGGTATATCTATTTTGACGATATACCCTGTATATCGTCACTATAGATCGTCTTTCACATGCTAGAGTTGTCGAAACTCAAACTTAATAGGTAACAATAGTTTCATTCATGAATCACATAAAAAAAAACTACCAACAATCCTAGACGCCACACGGATGAATTAATGAAAAAACGAATGGTAGAGATTACTTTTCAGAATCACTGCCAGGTAATTGATATACAGGGTGAGTCATAACTATTGGAACATAGGCTAAGGATGGATTGTTTTTGGACCAAAATATGGGAATAGAACCAAATATGCCTTGATGAAATATTGCTGTGGAAAAAGATGCAGGGCGTTAAAGTTGAATTTGTTAATCGTTTTTTGCTAATAATTCCACTGCATATACATCCATTTTCATCAGTATCGGCACAGAGGCATAATTATATAGGAGGAATATTATTTTATGTATTATTCTACAGTTTTTTACAGGGAAGGCCACGTGAATGATTCCTGATAATAAAATCGACTAGTAAAACTTTTTTTGACGACACTTGTTAGTGATTTTGATTAGGAAATATGGCATAAACATCATTTTTAATTTAAAATGGTACTCTTTTTTAAACACGATATTCTCATCCTTTTTCGAGGAAAATGCAATTGAATAGTTCAATGCCTCAGAGGGGAATTTTTCGAATTTTATTCCATTTATGAAGAGGTTAGCAAAATCTGGAATCCATCGACAAAAATCATCTCGTATATACTATTTTGAGTCCTATATTGTTTGGTACCCATGTCTGATGATGACCGTAGTGCCGAAACCAGTAACGTTTTTCTTTTGAAAAATCATTTAGGTCGTTTTATTTTTATAAAATAAATATTAATATTCAAAGCAAATTTTGAATGCTTGTCAGTTTGAAACAAACGAAGCAGTGTTGGATGGATGGATAATCGGAAAGCCTTCAAAACCAGGAGCCACGTGACCCCCTTTACATTTGAAAAAAAAAGTTAGTGGTGCTTTCTTGACACGTGACCACAACCATTGTCATGCCAAAAAGTAGTAAAAGACGTACCTTTTTACCTGAATTTTATCCCCGACATCGCTAGCTTGTCCCGTTCAAAAGTTAATGGGAGGGGGGAAGACTTTTTAAGTCCTCACTGTATATCACCTCTACCATAGATTAATGACTCCCCCTTCTATAAACAACCATGTTTCTCGAGGTGATAATATAGAAATGTTATTTCATCCATTGTGAATATAATAATACTCTTCATTATTCCCAAGAAACATATGTTTATAGCAGGAAAAATTATGAAAGAGCAAGTAAAAAAGTAAAATCAGATAATCATTTTTAAATCATATACATAGTCCATATAATATTGTTTCTTCACAATGGAATGGTTTTATACAATTCATTACCGAATGAGTTGAAAAATATACATGATGCAAGAAGGTTTAAAATCAATCTTAAAAAATACTTGCTCAGGACAATTTGAATGAAAAATATGTGGCATGATTTGATTACTTAGGAATGAAATATAACTTTAATCTTATAAGACACAATATTAATTCGTTTCCACTGAGTGGAATTCATTATAGTTAACCCTTTATTATTATTTTTTTATATGAATTTATGTATCCCTATCATAAACAGAAATGTTTCTTGGGGTAATAAAGACAATCAATCAATAATAGAATCAAAGACATAAGTATTTTTTCAGTTCTTTTCTGAATTTCTCAACACTTCATTTGTTCTTCAGCCTGGCAGGTAGTTCATTATAGAGAATTGTTCCATTGTATAAAATAGATCTTTCACCCCCCATCTGATTTAATTCTGATGAGAGTTAACATATCATCAGACTATGGTCTGAAGAACTTTTCTTTATTAAAATCAGAAAAAACTAATACGTGAATGATATCGATTTTGTTTTGATTTTGTTATTTTCTCAAGAATCTCAAGTACCCAGGAGCATCTTGAGAGAGAAAAACACTATGGAACACTCAAAGAGCCTGGAGTTCGACAAACTGTTGGTGGACAAGTCAGAAAAAGATGATGAAGACAAAAAAAGTGTGAGATTCAACTTGGACAATACCACAGATGTAGGAATAACATTCTCAGATAAAAGTTCTAGTGATGAAGACATACACAGCGATAAAAACAAAATCGATAATATAATCGATGTAAAGCTAACTCCTACTATGACTAGGTTTTCTGTGAGTCCTGTACTAGAACCTGTGAAACATCCAAATTCTCTAAAAATAATAAAACCGAATCCCAAAGATTTTATCAAACCCAAATTGACTTTGAACAAAAGTTCTGACTCTGACGAAGAAACAAGGAGCATAGAAAAACCTGGTATCGATGCGGTGGACACACTTTTTGACACGGAAAATTCTGATTCGAGCCCCAGCGATAAACTCTCAGGAAAGTTGAAGAAACTCGAGGAGCAGGCTGAAAGAAAAGTAACACAGTTGAAACAGTCAATCTGGGAAGAAAAAAATGAAGAAATGGTGAAATTCAAATCCGATTTGGAAGACTCCAATAAGGAAGAGCTAAAGAGAATTCTGGATGACGAGAAACTTAAGCAGAAAGATATCACAAAAATGGAACTAGAAAAAATTAAAGTTGCACTTGAAGAAGAAAGAGAAACATTATTGAAGGAGGAACAAGAAAATTTACTGAAAAGTCTTGATATCTACAAGGAACAGCTTGAAAATGGTCTTGAAGAAGATGAGCAAAAAATGAAAAAACAGTTCGAAACGAAGAAGGAAGAATTGGAGAAATATTATGATGAAAAATTGGCTGATATTGAGAAAGAGTTAGCAGAAAAGGTAGAGAAAAGCAGAGATGAGCTAATTTTTACACACAAGGCTGATATTGAACAATTGAAGCAGAATCATTCCATAATAATAGAAGAATTAAAGAGGGAATTTCAAGCTGAGGTAAAAACAATGTGTTTTAGAAAACCTTCCCTAATTGCTGATATCAGTTTATCAAATTCATCTAATTAACATAACACCTATGAAGAAAATGTTCGAAAACTATGTGAGATTTGTAGTTAAAATCATTAGGCATTGAGTTTTTTTCATAGACATGTTTTTGCAATGAATTTGAGTAGATAATGGCGTGGAAAGGTTTGAAAAACGGCCACTCATGGAAAAAAAATATTTTTTCTGTGACGGGAAAAAAGTTTGGCATTTCATCTCTGTTGGCAGGTTATAAAATGTCACATTTCATAAATTACCCGTGGGAAAAAAATGATTACTTTTTTCCTGGATATATATCACATATACAGGGTCTCTATAAATGATCGTAACATCGTAGTGGCTGTTGAATTTTTTTTTCCATTTGCCGCTTACTACTAATGCTGTTGACAACATTTAACGACCAAAAGAGAGGAAGTGATCACATACAGGATCTTTTTTTTTATCGCTTTGCATACACTATGGAAATGAATCTCAAAGAAAGGAGAGTCCAATATTGTAGTTTGAAAAATAATGGAACAAATCAAAAATATTCATTAAAGAAGTAATAAATAACGGTTTATTTCATTAAACTACATCAAATGTTCAAAATGTTCTTCGTTGTTCTCCAAGCATTTCAAAACTCTTCACTGTTTGTATTCGAAAATGTTCCTCAGCATTTCCGGGCCAATATTTTGGCAGCAATGTGTTATTGAGGCTTGCAGCTCTCTAAGGTTATCATTTTCTCTCTTGCATACTTCGTCTTTCAAATATCCAAAAAGGCAGAAATCCAAACGCGTCAAATCTGGAGAACGTGTTGGAAAAGAAGGAATAACTCCTCGACTTATCACACGATTGTCATAAAATTCTTGTAAATATTCTAAATTTGCACGTGTGGTGTGGGCAGTGGCGCCATCTTGCTGAAAATAGCCAACTCGAATTTCTTCATCAAGTTGATTGATGAATGGTTCTAACATCACTTGTCTGTATCTTTCACCATTGATAGTGCCATCGAAGAAAATCGGTCCATATATTCGCCTACGAGAAACTGCTAATCACACCCCAATTTTTTGAGAGTGTAGTGGAGTCTCAATGAAATTGTGGAGATTCTCAGATCTCCAAAACCTAAAATTTTGTGAGGTCACTTATACCGACAAATGAAACCAAGCCTCATCGCTGAAAAATATTAGGTCCAATAGCTGGTCATCGTTGAGTTTATTTTGAAACCATTGGCAGTACTCCAGACGACGTGGGATATCTATTGGCAGAAGTTGCTGTAGAACACTGGTCTTTTGAGGGTGCATATGCAATCTTTTCTTGAGCACTTTATGGCATGTACTTAGTGGCACACCAGATTGTAAAGATAATCCATTCAATGACGTTTGGGGATTTTGCTCAACACGCGCCCTTAGATTTTCGACAACTTCATCCGATATTTGGGGCCTTCCTGTTGATTTCTATTTATTAACGTTTCCAGTTTGGATGAATCTGTTGATCACTGTTCTGATGTGGGCTTTCAAAGGAGATTCTTGAATCTGTACATTAGGATATTTCGCCAGGTACTCATCCTTGCAGGCTACTACCGAGTAACTCCATACACCATTGATGAATGTGCCACTTCGACAATAAGACAATAATTACAATAAATGTATATTCTGCTCCGAGGAATAAGCCATCCCTCTTTTGAACACGACAATCACGAAGTAGAAAACAGAATCGTTTAAAAATTTCAACGAAAAACTGACAATTGTGAGTTTATCAGCTATGACAGTATAATGATTGGTGTCAGAAATTAAATTCGAATGTGTGAATCTCCATAAATGAAAGGCGGCAGATGGAGTAAATATTTCAACGGCTACTACGATGTTACGATCATTTATAGAAACCCTGTATATACACTGTTGATGGCTTTTGTTGTGCTGTAGTTCCGAAAAATTAGTCAATAATACCGTCTCCGAGAAAGAACTGAAGTCCTTTTATCTTCCATTCGACTTCGCGGTTACGTATATTACTAAACAACCACTGAATTCGCAATTTTTTGAAATCAAATCACTGAATTATACTGACAGAAGTGACATCAGATATTTGATTACTTCAAAAGAATGATAAGGATGCCTACAACGCAGGTGTCCCTAAAAACTTAAAATTTCACGTCGATAATTTTCAGATTTCAAAATAATGTAATATCTTCTCAATATTGATTCGTCCTTTCTTCTGTCACAGAAAAAAAATAGTGTATTATACAAGGGAAAAATATTAGATTTTAGCTCACACAACCTGGAGCTAAAATCTACGACTGTTTTCCCTTGTATAATAAATAACTATTTTCAAATTCTTTTAGGACCAAACGTTAAAAAAAGATCACCAAGCCAAATTGACGGAGCTGAAGAAAAAACATAAAACCGAATTGGACCAAGAAAAATCGAAAACTCTGTGTGATGAGAGAATGTTTGAGAAGTTGAGGTGTGAAAAGAGACTACTAGAAGATAAATACAGGTGTCTGAAGGAGAAATACTTGAAGTTGAAAACCGAAGTGAAATTGTCTATTGAGAAGAAGAACAGGAGGAAAGAACAGAGTACCACAACTAATACTACTGGCTCGGAGACTGAACAAAGCAATTCCAATAAAGAAAGGTAACTATTACGAATTTTTCATCTCCATTTTTTGAATTATAATGTATTTTATTTACAACTATACAGGGTGGGTCACGGTAGATGGCACCTTAGACGTTTACGGAGAACGGGACATAAGATCATTCTGAAAATTTGGTTACTCAAGTAATTGCTCTTGATCTATCGATCTAAAATATTTTCAGCTCTGCGGCGTTGCCGCTTCTATCGAAAAGTAGCAACAACTTTGTTATTTTAAATGGAACACCCTGTATTTCATTGCATCTTCAGATTCTCTCTGAAGAGCTGATTTCATCGATATATCACACTTGGGGTCTAGCGGAAATGATTACAGAGATATAGGGTGTGAAAAATCGACATTTTTCAACTTAAGGAATTTTTTTTGTCGAAACTATTCATTATTGGTCAAAACGGCTTACATGTCCCTATCTCAACTTTTGATTAACTATCTACTGATATTTAATTGGGACATATACCGGGTGATCAAGAATCTGAATTCTGCACCACCCTGTATTTATGTGTTCATGTATCTCTATTATAAACAGATAGGTTTCTTGGGGTGATTAAATCAATCAATCAATATATTTTAGGATATTTGTTGAAAAACCTCCTACTCCCAAACATACCAAATCCAATAATGAGGGCACCCTAAATAAATCGGACAATAAAACCGTGAAGCAAGTTGTGATACAGGATTTGGACACGTCTGTGAGCGATAACTGCTATCACAGTGATGACAAGACTAATCAGAATGACAAGGATAGCTCGGATAGTACTAACCCTGGAAGAAGCAGAAGAAAACTATTCTCAAGGTAGGATCTAGAAAAAAGTTTGGTGATATCTTCTTATTTACCGGTTCAAGCAATGCAGTAGGTTCATATAGGTGAAAAAATATTTTTTTCCTGATTGCCCTAAAATTCCCAAAAAATTCATAGACACTTATTCAGACCCATAAAGAGAGAATTTGATGTCAGATTCGATAGATAACTCCCCCTGTAGATTTTCGAAATCAGCGGTTCAAGCAATGCAGTAGGCTCATATAGGTGAAAAAATATTTTTTTCCTGTTTGTCCTAAAATTCCCAAAAAATTCATAGACACTTATTCAGACCCATAAAGAGAGAATTTGATGTCAGATTTGATAGATAACTCCCCCTGTAGATTTTCGAAATCAGCGGTTCAAGCAATGCAGGTGAAAAAATATTTTTTTCCTGATTGCCCTAAAATTCCCAAAAAATTCATAGACACTTATTCAGACCCATAAAGATAGAATTTGATGTCAGATTCGATAGATAACTCCTCCTGTAGATTTTCAAAATCAGCGGTTCAAGCAATGCAGTAGGCTCATATAGGTGAAAAAATATTTTTTTCCTGATTGCCCTAAAATTCCCAAAAAATTCATAGACACTTATTCAGACCCATAAAAAGAGAGAATTTGATGTCAGATTCGATAGATAACTCCCCCTGTAGATTTTCGAAATCAGCGGTTCAAGCAATGCAGTAGGCTCATATAGGTGAAAAAATATTTTTTTCCTGATTGCCCTAAAATTCCCAAAAAATTCATAGACACTTATTCAGACCCATAAAAAGAGAGAATTTGATGTCAGATTTGATAGATAACTCCCCCTGTAGATTTTCGAAATCAGCGGTTCAAGCAATGCAGGTGAAAAAATATTTTTTTCCTGATTGCCCTAAAATTCCCAAAAAATTCATAGACACTTATTCAGACCCATAAAGATAGAATTTGATGTCAGATTCGATAGATAACTCCTCCTGTAGATTTTCAAAATCAGCGGTTCAAGCAATGCAGTAGGCTCATATAGGTGAAAAAATATTTTTTTCCTGATTGCCCTAAAATTCCCAAAAAATTCATAGACACTTATTCAGACTCATAAAGAGAGAATTTGATGTCAGATTCGATGGATAACTCCCCCTGTAGATTTTCGAAATCAGCGGTTCAAGCAATGCAGTAGGCTCATATAGGTGAAAAAATATTTTTTTCCTGATTGCCCTAAAATTCCCAAAAAATTCATAGACACTTATTCAGACCCATAAAGATAGAATTTGATGTCAGATTCGATAGATAACTCCCCCTGTAGATTTTCGAAATCAGCGGTTCAAGCAATGCAGTAGGCTCATATAGGTGAAAAAATATTTTTTTCCTGATTGCCCTAAAATTCCCAAAAAATTCATAGACACTTATTCAGACCCATAAAAAGAGAGAATTTGATGTCAGATTCGATAGATAACTCCCCCTGTAGATTTTCGAAATCAGCGGTTCGAGCAATGCAGTAGGCTCATATAGGTGAAAAAATATTTTTTTCCTGATTGCCCTAAAATTCCCAAAAAATTCATAGACACTTATTCAGACCCATAAAAAGAGAGAATTTGATGTCAGATTCGATGGATAACTCCTCCTGTAGATTTTCAAAATCAGCGGTTCAAGCAATGCAGTAGGCTCATATAGGTGAAAAAATATTTTTTTCCTGATTGCCCTAAAATTCCCAAAAAATTCATAGACACTTATTCAGACTCATAAAGAGAGAATTTGATGTCAGATTCGATGGATAACTCCCCCTGTAGATTTTCGAAATCAGCGGTTCAAGCAATGCAGTAGGCTCATATAGGTGAAAAAATATTTTTTTCCTGATTGCCCTAAAATTCCCAAAAAATTCATAGACACTTATTCAGACCCAGAAAGAGAGAATTTGATGTCAGATTCGATGGATAACTCCTCCTGTAGATTTTCAAAATCAGCGGTTCAAGCAATGCAGTAGGCTCATATAGGTGAAAAAATATTTTTTTCCTGATTGCCCTAAAATTCCCAAAAAATTCATAGACACTTATTCAGACCCATAAAGATAGAATTTGATGTCAGATTCGATAGATAACTCCCCCTGTAGATTTTCGAAATCAGCGGTTCAAGCAATGCAGTAGGCTCATATAGGTGAAAAAATATTTTTTTCCTGATTGCCCTAAAATTCCCAAAAAATTCATAGACACTTATTCAGACCCATAAAGATAGAATTTGATGTCAGATTCGATAGATAACTCCCCCTGTAGATTTTCGAAATCAGCGGTTCAAGCAATGCAGTAGGCTCATATAGGTGAAAAAATATTTTTTTCCTGATTGCCCTAAAATTCCCAAAAAATTCATAGACACTTATTCAGACCCATAAAAAGAGAGAATTTGATGTCAGATTCGATAGATAACTCCCCCTGTAGATTTTCGAAATCAGCGGTTCGAGCAATGCAGTAGGCTCATATAGGTGAAAAAATATTTTTTTCCTGATTGCCCTAAAATTCCCAAAAAATTCATAGACACTTATTCAGACCCATAAAAAGAGAGAATTTGATGTCAGATTCGATAGATAACTCCCCCTGTAGATTTTCGAAATCAGCGGTTCGAGCAATGCAGTAGGCTCATATAGGTGAAAAAATATTTTTTTCCTGATTGCCCTAAAATTCCCAAAAAATTCATAGACACTTATTCAGACCCATAAAGAGAGAATTTGATGTCAGATTCGATAGATAACTCCCCCTGTAGATTTTCGAAATCAGCGGTTCGAGCAATGCAGTAGGCTCATATAGGTGAAAAAATATTTTTTTCCTGATTGCCCTAAAATTCCCAAAAAATTCATAGACACTTATTCAGACCCAGAAAGAGAGAATTTGATGTCAGATTCGATGGATAACTCCTCCTGTAGATTTTCAAAATCAGCGGTTCAAGCAATGCAGTAGGCTCATATAGGTGAAAAAATATTTTTTTCCTGATTGCCCTAAAATTCCCAAAAAATTCATAGACACTTATTCAGACCCATAAAGAGAGAATTTGATGTCAGATTCGATAGATAACTCCCCCTGTAGATTTTCGAAATCAGCGGTTCGAGCAATGCAGTAGGCTCATATAGGTGAAAAAATATTTTTTTCCTGATTGCCCTAAAATTCCCAAAAAATTCATAGACACTTATTCAGACCCAGAAAGAGAGAATTTGATGTCAGATTCGATGGATAACTCCCCCTGTAGATTTTCAAAATCAGCGGTTCAAGCAATGCAGTAGGCTCATATAGGTGAAAAAATATTTTTTTCCTGATTGCCCTAAAATTCCCAAAAAATTCATAGACACTTATTCAGACCCATAAAAAGAGAGAATTTGATGTCAGATTCGATAGATAACTCCCCCTGTAGATTTTCGAAATCAGCGGTTCGAGCAATGCAGTAGGCTCATATAGGTGAAAAAATATTTTTTTCCTGATTGCCCTAAAATTCCCAAAAAATTCATAGACACTTATTCAGACCCAGAAAGAGAGAATTTGATGTCAGATTCGATGGATAACTCCCCCTGTAGATTTTCAAAATCAGCGGTTCAAGCAATGCAGTAGGCTCATATAGGTGAAAAAATATTTTTTTCCTGATTGCCCTAAAATTCCCAAAAAATTCATAGACACTTATTCAGACCCATAAAAAGAGAGAATTTGATGTCAGATTCGATAGATAACTCCCCCTGTAGATTTTCGAAATCAGCGGTTCGAGCAATGCAGTAGGCTCATATAGGTGAAAAAATATTTTTTTCCTGATTGCCCTAAAATTCCCAAAAAATTCATAGACACTTATTCAGACTCATAAAGAGAGAATTTGATGTCAGATTCGATGGATAACTCCCCCTGTAGATTTTCGAAATCAGCGGTTCAAGCAATGCAGTAGGCTCATATAGGTGAAAAAATATTTTTTTCCTGATTGCCCTAAAATTCCCAAAAAATTCATAGACACTTATTCAGACCCATAAAGAGAGAATTTGATGTCAGATTCGATAGATAACTCCCCCTGTAGATTTTCGAAATCAGCGGTTCGAGCAATGCAGTAGGCTCATATAGGTGAAAAAATATTTTTTTCCTGATTGCCCTAAAATTCCCAAAAAATTCATAGACACTTATTCAGACCCAGAAAGAGAGAATTTGATGTCAGATTCGATAGATAACTCCCCCTGTAGATTTTCGAAATCAGCGGTTCAAGCAATGCAGTAGGCTCATATAGGTGAAAAAATATTTTTTTCCTGATTGCCCTAAAATTCCCAAAAAATTCATAGACACTTATTCAGACTCATAAAGAGAGAATTTGATGTCAGATTCGATGGATAACTCCCCCTGTAGATTTTCAAAATCAGCGGTTCAAGCAATGCAGTAGGCTCATATAGGTGAAAAAATATTTTTTTCCTGATTGCCCTAAAATTCCCAAAAAATTCATAGACACTTATTCAGACCCAGAAAGAGAGAATTTGATGTCAGATTCGATAGATAACTCCCCCTGTAGATTTTCAAAATCAGCGGTTCAAGCAATGCAGTAGGCTCATAGGTGAAAAAATATTTTTTTACCGATTGCCCTAAAATTCCCGAAAAATTCATAGACACTTATTCAGACTCATAAAGAGAGAATTTGATGTCAGATTCGATGGATAACTCCCCCTGTAGATTTTCAAAATCAGCGGTTCAAGCAATGCAGTAGGCTCATATAGGTGAAAAAATATTTTTTTCCTGATTGCCCTAAAATTCCCAAAAAATTCATAGACACTTATTCAGACTCATAAAGAGAGAATTTGATGTCAGATTCGATGGATAACTCCCCCTGTAGATTTTCAAAATCAGCGGTTCAAGCAATGCAGTAGGCTCATATAGGTGAAAAAATATTTTTTTCCTGATTGCCCTAAAATTCCCAAAAAATTCATAGACACTTATTCAGACCCAGAAAGAGAGAATTTGATGTCAGATTCGATGGATAACTCCCCCTGTAGATTTTCAAAATCAGCGGTTCAAGCAATGCAGTAGGCTCATATAGGTGAAAAAATATTTTTTTCCTGATTGCCCTAAAATTCCCAAAAAATTCATAGACACTTATTCAGACCCAGAAAGAGAGAATTTGATGTCAGATTCGATGGATAACTCCCCCTGTAGATTTTCAAAATCAGCGGTTCAAGCAATGCAGTAGGCTCATATAGGTGAAAAAATATTTTTTTCCTGATTGCCCTAAAATTCCCAAAAAATTCATAGACACTTATTCAGACTCATAAAGAGAGAATTTGATGTCAGATTCGATGGATAACTCCCCCTGTAGATTTTCAAAATCAGCGGTTCAAGCAATGCAGTAGGCTCATATAGGTGAAAAAATATTTTTTTCCTGATTGCCCTAAAATTCCCAAAAAATTCATAGACACTTATTCAGACCCATAAAGAGAGAATTTGATGTCAGATTCGATAGATAACTCCCCCTGTAGATTTTCAAAATCAGCGGTTCAAGCAATGCAGTAGGCTCATATAGGTGAAAAAATATTTTTTTCCTGATTGCCCTAAAATTCCCAAAAAATTCATAGACACTTATTCAGACTCATAAAGAGAGAATTTGATGTCAGATTCGATGGATAACTCCCCCTGTAGATTTTCAAAATCAGCGGTTCAAGCAATGCAGTAGGCTCATATAGGTGAAAAAATATTTTTTTCCTGATTGCCCTAAAATTCCCAAAAAATTCATAGACACTTATTCAGACCCAGAAAGAGAGAATTTGATGTCAGATTCGATAGATAACTCCCCCTGTAGATTTTCAAAATCAGCGGTTCAAGCAATGCAGTAGGCTCATAGGTGAAAAAATATTTTTTTACCGATTGCCCTAAAATTCCCGAAAAATTCATAGGCACTTATCCAGACCCATAAAGATAGAATTTGATGTCAGATTCGATAGATAACTCCCCCTGTAGATTTTCGAAATCAGCGGTTCAAGCAATGCAGTAGGCTCATATAGGTGAAAAAATATTTTTTTCCTGATTGCCCTAAAATTCCCAAAAAATTCATAGACAGTAATTCAGACCCATAAAGAGAGAATTTGATGTCAGATTCGATAGATAACTCTCCCTTTAGATTTTCAAAATCAGCGGTTCAAGCAATATTTATCAACAAAAAACAAAAATAGGAATTCAACTTTGACACTCTGTATCTCAGAAACGAATAACTTCCGGACATATATTCATATGAACTCATTTTTTCAACTCGAAGAAAATACAAATGCTCGACAATCTTCATTTGACACATCTAATCCGGCATTTCATGTGTTGTGATCAGGATTTCCAAAGACGACTTTTGTTACATTGCAAAATCTCATTAAAACATTCCACATGCAGTAGTTGTTTCAAACAGTTATAACTCTGATAGTTTTCTGGGAGAACATAACTTGTAATACATTGTTAGATACAGAAAAGACCAGTTTTTCTGAATGTGCAAAAATATACAGGGTGATTCAATGAAATAAAAAAGTTGCCCAATACCTGAATAATGGCTAGTTTGTTTCCGGTAGAACCGGATGTTCAAGAGAGGAGGTGAACCTGCCAAAAAAAACTTGAAAAATATCAAAATAGACTAGTCCAAACTGCACAACGATAACTTGAATGGTTTCAGAGATATAAGCATTTGAAATTTGTCAGAATATAACTGGTCACCCGGTACCTATATTCAGGCTTCCCCAAATATCATGATATTCTGCATATATTTTCGTATTCGAAAATTTCACCAGGTTGAAAAGTTCGTCGACGTCCCGAATCAACAACAACTCGAAAACCCGCAAACCGCAACGGTCCTGCTCTCCCGTAGAAAATTTGCGCAGGCAACTCCAGAAGCTGGAGGATCTGGAAGACCAGTTCCCGGAGAACGCCCAATCGGACACCTACCACTTACGCTACCCCTTCTCCGACGGACAGAAGTTCGAGGGTAGCTCGGAGTTGGAGTTCTTCAGGCACAGGAAAGTTTTTTATTGATGACTATTCCACTCTTGATCTCGAGAACCAATCAGAATCGAACATTTTCACGGTTTACTCTTTATTTTAGCGATATTTTTTGGTTATTGAATTTTATCGGACTTGCTCTACCAATACATATGATATATGCAATTTTCTTTGGCAAAACATCAATATGATTGCCCCACTTCAACCTGTCATCAAACCAAATACCAAGATATTTTATCTGTTCAGTTTGTTTTAAGAGTTCATTTTTTATTTTAAGGTTGAGGTAAATATGTTGTTTAATTTTTTGGTGAAAAATGATATATGTTCTGTTTTATTAGTATTTATCCATAAAAGGTTAGAGTGGAGCCATTTTTCAAATATTTTCAAGTCTTCATCCATCATATTTTTCAAATTCAAAGGATTCTTGCTTTCATATAAAAGTACTGTATCATCTGCATACATGGTATATTTACTCGCTAGACCAATTTCACTGATATTTTGAACATTACCAATCAGAATCGACCATTTTCACGGTTTCTTCTGTATTACAGCGATATTTTTTTGTTAACTAAATTTTATCGGATTACTCTACCAATACTGAAGCCGAGTTGACCCACACGTGACCAACCATACAAGTTTTTCAGCGATAAAATTTTTGAAATTCAAAATATCAATCATGTTAGAAGCCAGAATGATGGATGCACTGTGCGCAACTCTCGCGAGGCGCTCGTTTATTGTCTCAATCATGAGATATTTTCACGAATACAACTCGTGATACTATTTTTCCTGGAAATATTCGTCGATTGACATACTTAAGCTTGCTGCTTTAATTTAGTTCATGACATTGATCCAGAACTCCTCGTCAAAGACTGGAAAGTTTTGATAAACTATGTCATTCGCGAAATTATTAGGCAACAAGCTATCGTAACAATCGCCGAATATTTCCGACAAAATAGTATCATTTCCTGGTATTACATATGATAATTATGATGGTTGAATTTTATTTTCAATTCTTGCGATGGGTTTCTGAGAATATAAAACCTTTTGGGGGCTGATAGGAGACGCCATTTAGAACCTATTTAGCCACACTATTGCCACTCTAAATAAATAAAAACCTAGTTAATAGGCAGAGGTATATTGTCTGTTCATTAATCCAAAATTTATGTGAATGTCAAAATATTTGTAAAAATGGACAATTTTAGAATTGACAACCCCCTTCATAATCCACCAAACCCAGTGCTCGATGAAATGACTGGCATAAAAATTAGTCCAGAGATTGTCAGAAACATGACAACATGGATATACTACAAGAATTCTGCATCAGAAGAAACCCCGAAGTACAGCCCATACACAAACACCCCCTCATTGAAATACTTCTCCGATTAGTTCAACAATTTTAACATCAAAAACTATAAACTTTTTTTTTCACAATCTATAATGATAGTGATAGGTTGGCCAGCGTGAAGCCCTGACCTAACCCTCCTTGATTATTATGTGAAAGCGCTGGTTTATGAAACTCATTAAATTACCGGGGAAGAGCTTAACGATAATCGATGCTGCCCTGCAAATACGAAATAATTTGACAACTAGAATAACAAATAGGGAAATGAGAAAATGCTACCAAGCATGTATTCGTATCCGCTCTCACTTTGAACAGGATTAGTAAAAAGTAAATACTAATAGAACACTTTCAAATACGTTTTTACTATTTATTAAAAATAACAAACCCGTATCAAGCACTAGTTTAATTTAATTACCGAGTAAAATAGGTATTGCCTTCAGGAAGTTTTAAAATGTTGACAAATGTGGCTTAGAGATTTTTCTGAAAATAACCGCAAGAAAGTGTTGAAATCCACAATTCACACACAAATACGACTGTATTTACAATTATTCATCTATGATCTGAATTATTTCTGGAATTTTTTCATTCCAAAGATAAGACCATAGTGTTGATTATATATTCTAGTTGAAAGGTTGAAAAAATGTACAGCAGATTTTCGGGAAACTAACTTTCAAACCCTTGAGGTCTACCTTTTGGAGAAATATAGAGAAATTTAAATTTCTCAAAAAAATAAACTTTTCTATAATGCATATTAGGGTTAGTTAGATTCAATTCTTACCACCTCCCCTTTCTTCAAAGCAATGTATCGAATTACCAGTAACTAGCTATTATTTCGAGTCTAGTTCACCCTAATTTTTCGTATGAGTTACCAGTTGATTAGTGCAATTTCTGAGTATTTTCGGAATACGAACAAAAACTAGCCTTAGCCTGCATGGCTGTCCAGCAGAATTCGGGGCATTTTTACAGTGACGTAGACCTCAATGTTAGCCCTCATTGAACATTTCAATAAAAACTGGAATTTGGTGTTACACAGGATCCATTTGGAGAGGGATTCGATAAAGAGGGCCAAGGAGAGCTTGCGAAGCCAGAAGAGTTTGTTTCAGCAGAGGCAGAAGGAGTTGAAGTTGAAGCACGGGACCATGGCGAGGCATACTCTACAGCAACTCTGTCAGGTGAGAATATGATTTGAGAAACAACATACACACCCTGAAAATACATTACTATAGTTGTTCTAACAATCGATTTGAACAATTTTCAACTTACCCATGAAGAACAATTTATGTATGTTTATGTCTTGCTTGTTTTGCATCCAAAGGCAACACAATATAAATAACCATTGTTTATTAATTCGAAATCACAAACCTTTTCAACAACTATCAATTCACGCCAACAAATTCAGTCCTTGTGAAGAAACAAAACACTCCAAATTTTGCGATATTTCACAAACGGTGAAGTTTTGTCTTCACTTTTTTTGCCTGTTTAGGTAAACAAAATATATCAAGTACTCCAATTATTAAATAAAAGAAAATGTATACACCAATCCGCCATTAAACAACAAGAGTGTGAAAAAGACAGGTTACCGTAACACAAGCTATCTTTGTTGCAGCTGCCCCTGACTTAATCTGTACCCTGACACACTGTGCTATTCGAGAAAGCGACATTCTCCCTTCCAGTTTACATTTATTTCAATGTTTTGTATACAATGATTTTGACAATGGCGCTGATTTCATTTGTATTTGACATTTGACACCTTCATAACCAACCTCATGATAGGTCGCGTGCACGATGACCGACCCTGGAGGCAAAATATTGAAACACAACTTCATTCTTCTGTGAATTATTGAAACACAACCTCACTTTTTTACTTGGTTACAGAGGAATCAAAGGATTGAACTAGTTTTTCACAATATTTTGGCATACGAATCGTGTTTTTTACGCTATTCATTAATTCGAGCATGCCACCACATTGTGCTGTTGTACAATGCACAAAAAATGCAGCAAGAGACTAAAGAATATGATTTTTCAGGTAAATAGTAATCTCACATAGTTATCATTATGAAATGTTGTCATTCCTTATTAAAATTCCTTCTGCCTTCTGTCACTTCTGCAGTGCAAGCTAATACTGCTAATAGATTGAAAATGTCTACAACACACACGATCGTCAGCATGTCAGACCAGTCCTCCCGATTGTTTGCATGAATCCAATCTTCTTGCATTATTTTAGAAATTTCAGGTGTATTTCTATTAGCTCCTATCGCAGAAGGAAATCCGATGAGAAATCACATTAATCACCAAATTTCAAAAATGAAAACTTTATGTGAGTGACTATAGTAGGTACTTACTTTTAAATGATAATGTACCATCCGGATTCCTTCATCTTCTGCTGCAGTTTTTGTGCATTTTACAACAGCATAATGTGATGGCATGAGCGAATTGATGAATAGCGGAAAAATACGATTCGTATGCCAAAATAATTGTGAAAAACTATTTCAATCACTTGTAAACAAATAAGTAAAGTGACGTTTGTGTTTCAATATTTTGCCTCCAGTGTCGGTCATCTGACAGTTCTTGCACGCAACCCATAGGAAATTTTTAACCCTCGAAAATATGTTGTTGAGATTTCTTTTTTTTTTTTCATTTATATTTTTATTTTGACATTTGCCCTTAGGGATGTAGCCAAATTTGTCCGGGGGATGAACTTTTCGACGAGAACTTTGTTTTCAAGAAGGCCCATCACTAGGGTGTTCTGATTTTTAGGAAGAGAAGGAACTGACAGACATGGAGGTGAATCTCCATCGCACCCGCAGCCTTCTCGGCGAGAAAGTGATCAGGCTGCGTCACCTCGAGCAGTCTCTGCAGCGAGCCAACATACAGAGCGATCAAAAGAACGAGGACGCTACGCTCAGCGATATCTCGTCGCACAGTGCTAGTTCAGGTAAGGCATCCTAATGCATTTCAGAAAGCGCCAATTCGATAGGCAATTTCACTATGATTGAAAATAGCCCTTTTTATTTGGTGAACGGTCTCATACATGACTCAGTTTATCAAATAGCACTTCTTCTCATCTATTGATTCCTTTACAACTGTTTAATTAATACTTCAAAAGTGCTACGAATTGAGAGAGTTCCAAACGACCATTTTTCGCGGTGTGACGTCACTTGTATTTTCTTGAGGCTCCCTCTGACGACCCAAAGAGGATGCGTTGCACAAAACCACAGACACAGAGTGGTTGAGTGATCTGTGACTTGAGAGAAAAATGGCTACAAAACACACTATAGAAGAAGAAAAAGATTAACCTCGAAATCTAGTTCATAGTTCATTTCATTTTCAGTGATCTATCACTGTCATATTAGTGATATTCTTACATTCTGAACTAACTGACACATTTCACTTGAACTGAACTGAATCAGTTGACATGCATTATACCGTTGATTGATATAGTACGCTTACGCTGGGAAGATGCCCAACCTTAGGAGGCAAAACGAGGTCCAAAAAAATCTCACAACTAGATGGCGTAGCATAGTTCGAAATCTCACATAGTGGCGGCGATAGTGTCGAACGATGTCGGAGCAATACTTCGTAATTTGACTGGCAGGTGCGTCACTTGCGAAGAGAATCTATTGGAATGCAGATGGCGTGCGACTTGAAACAATTGAACGATCCATAATCCAGAAAGCTTGTATCATAGATGAATGATATCTTTAATCTATGCTTGTATCGAATCCACGATCAATCAGAACGATTCTAACTAATATGGCGGTAAATTCGAATTTGTTAGTAATACTTGTACTGTATATGCTTCCAACGAGCACATCATGGACGTAAGATCATGAAAAAAGTTTATAGAAATCGAATTGGAGTGAATCACGAAATTTCATGTCTCAACAATAAATGCTTCCATTTTTGGCGATTGTGGAATAAACTGGTCAGCGGATATCAACATACAAGCTGCTCATAAATTTGATTAAAATTCACGAACCCGGACCAGTGTTGTCACCTTAGTGTATTTTACCCTAGAACTGAATCTAAATGGGCCTGTTTGAGTGAAATTTTATATTTCATTATGTCGAATTACTAAATCAAACTATAGTTCACTGTCGCAAATCATTTTCTTGTCAGAGCTATGTACAATTTTTGAAATTTTTATTATTGAAATTACTGATATTTATCACATGAAAAACGCGGAACATTGCGTGACAACTCTATACCGCTATCAATCCAAAGTATTTTATACTGGTATGATCCGACCTATGTATTGCCGAAACTTGGAGTGCCAATAATTTCCTTGGACTTTTGTGGGGCGGCCGACTCGGTGCGTTTGTCGGCGATAGGGCTCGGCCAAGCCGCCGTTTATCGCCCTAACAACACAAGTACATCCTAGGAACTTCCCAGGGGCGTCCTAATCTTATACTAGGACATCCCAGAGATATCCTCTGTCGGGACAGAGTACATACTAGGGACGTCCCAGGGACATCAGCTGGCCGACAAAAAAAGCATCCAAGGGATTTCCGTCTGGTATACGACCCTGGGATATACCGAGTACGAAGAAAGGATATCCCTAGGATGTCCCAAGGATATTCCAGGGACATCTCTTCGACAAAAGAAAAAAAAATGTAGGTCGAGTAGGGCTTGCACCCTGGACCTTTAGCTTATCAGGCACGCACCTTACTCCATTGGCTGATATGCCTTCTGAAGATTGATGTACCAAACAGATTTTTAAACAGGACTAAACTGCAGAAACCTGAATAAATACAACTTTGTTAGGATTTGTGTATAATTATTATCATTCGTGGGTGTTTAAAAATGAGGGGCATTATGCATTTACGATTTCTGTTAGTGAAAAATGGTAATTTCTTAAGAAGTTCTGAGACAATTTTCTTCATTTTCATTACAATTATTTACCGGAATAAAACCAAACATTTTCATAAAAATTCAACTCAATATTTTGATGAAAGTCAATGACTCTGATGTAAATGGATACCAGATATTCCAGGGACACGAATAGGATAACCTAGGGATGTACCGGGCCGGATGTCCACTGGACAACCACTGCGGGGCATATCCTGGATACCCCAATTATGTCCTTGACGGTGGGACAAAAAGGGTACGTACCTAGAACATCCCTGTGTTGTTAGGGCGGAGATTCTGAGCGTTCCGTAGTCTGTACTCCGTTGTTCTGGAGCGGAAAAATCGATTCTACTCAGAAAAAGTTACTGGTATCACAAAATATCAACGCCGATCTAATGATTATATGTATAGTACAGATATTTTGTTAACATTTTTCTTGGCACACCCCAAATACTCATGGAATAGTTCATTTTACTAAGGATGTGAGTTGTTCATTCATAGATTATTTTCATTTAGGCATCAGTTCTACTGAATTTGCAACTGCCGACAACTTCGGAGTTAAGGGGGCATTGAATCGTGAAAAACTTCAGGAATCTTCGGAGATTATTCAGAGTTTGGAAAATTTAAATCTGGAAATCAGGGAAATTTGGGATGTTCTGCGCACTCAGCAGCAGCAGACCAATATATCACAGGGTAAGTTTGATCATGAACATGTTATTATTTCTGTTCCATTATTTCCGATCCGAAATCTCTGTTATTTTCATTGCATTAAATTTGGAAAAATATGTTTTCGCCGTCATAATTCATTTTTTATACAGGGTTTCTATAAATGATCGTAAAGGCATTGAAGCGACCGAATGTGTTATAGTTCGGTCTTCATAAGTGGAAAGCAGCTAGCTGAAAATTATATTGATGCACCTGTTTTCATTCTGAAATATGTCATATCATCGTCAATTTTATTACGTGTCACATTTTTATAACATATTTAACATTATTTTATTTATGGAAAACACCATTATTTATAATTGATTGGTAAAGAAGTTTGATCGTTGCAGTAGGAAGTGGATGAAACCATAACTGTGTGGTAACGAAGAAATCACAGTCGATATCATAAATAAAAACACTAACATACTTATGTAATAAGCATTTTCCTAGTAAAAAAATAATAGGGAAAATAAATCATTCGATAAATACTTTTGAAGCTTACACACCTTGGATAAAAACTGGTCAGAGTTTCCCAGTTTACTTTATCTTGTCACGCCGGGCTTTAGAGCAGCCGGCTGTGATCTTGTTGGATGTTTGGAATATTTACACAAACATGTCTTTAGGAACACCACTTGTTTAATCTTGTCAATCATCAATATTCAGCACATTTTTAGTCTGAATTCCATGAATAATATTGCCAGAATATTCTTCAAAATATATTATAGGTAAGGTTATCCAATCGAATTATACATACATCATTTATAAAATATATTTTCCGAATATACTATTGAGAATATTCACAAATTATTCTAAAAAACTATTCTTGAATCAAGGGCGTCGCCAGAGAGGGGCAGGGTGGGGCAGCTGCCCCCCCCCTACGATTAACGCTCACCAGTCACCCTGCTATCATTGAAACGACTATTTCATTCATCACATAATCTGACCAATCACAAGCCAGAGAAAACGTGTGCTTATCGCGAAAACTAGATGTTTTCAACGATGTAACCATACCATGGGTAGCGAAGTCTGTCAATTTGGCAAAAAATAATGACTGTACTTCTCAGAATGAATCATTCATTCAAAATAAATGCTTCTTTGCTTCGTGAACGTGAAATAGTCTCTACTCTGTTCTGAATATATTCTCATAATTCTTCATTTCCTTGTCAAATCTATTGTGTTGCCGTACAGCCCTACCTTTCGTCCAGACTCGTGGTGTTGCTCAGCAACACAATTTCGTGAACAATGAGGCGACAGAATTATCTCGAATATTAAGAATATCGTGATATTACTTATGATAACGCTCACTTTGAGCAAAGAACTTCCGAAAGTATATTTTTCTCCTGAAGTTGAGAAGGCTCTGAAGATCCTTGTTGCCTTCACCTTGTAAGATTTGTACAGTTGAAAGGTCATTTAGTAGCCTTAGGAGAATTAAAACCTGGTTGAGGAGCACCATGTATGATGCTCGGCTCAATGGCCTCGCAATGATGAGTATATACACAGGCAACATATTTTCAAAAACTTGAACGATTTCGTCAAAAAGTGACCAACGAATTCCCATGCAAAGAACCCTAGAAGATTATTTTTCAACTGATTTACTGTATAGATTTTTTTCTGTTTTTTGATTTTCTCATTAAACTCTTTCTATTTGATTTTTCTCTTCAGTTTTTTTATGGCGCCCCCCCCAATTTTTTCCGCTGGCGACGCCCTTGTCTTGAATTATTATGAAAACATTCAGATATTCCCGGAATATCCATAAAATAATCTCTATGGAATATTCCCTCAGGAATATTCTTAGAACAATTTGTGCTATCTGGGTAATCAGATGTTTGAGGCACTCTAGTTTCAAAAATCCCAAAGCACTTAGATGTTCTAACCTGCACCGTTCCAGTGATCCCGCCGCTGGTGTACCCCGACCTCGCTTGGCCCCTGCTGGCCGGCGCATCCAGCGTGCCCCCCGCCGCGCCCCCCTCCATCCCCACCCTGGCCGACCGGCTGCACAATTACCGGCAGCACGTGGTGCTGGCGAACGCGCAGAGCACCGTCGTCACGCACGCCGCCAATCCGGGAGGCGGCGCCACCACCACCTCGCTGGTGGAGCGCACGCGCAATCTGCGCCACTGGCTGCGCCACACGGGGATGGACGGGGCGGGGGTGGAGGGCGGGGCGCCTCAGACGACGCTTTAATAA